GGCTCATGCATGGCCTACATGACTTACATTAGGGGGGACTTTAAGCTGTTAAAAATATTTTCCATGGGCTCTACTTTTGGTTAATTTAATCATGAAATATTTCACCATAGGTTTGATTAAATTTGATGTGGGGGGTGATAAACCTAAAATATATAGTCTTTATGTACACATTTTTATACCTATTGTTGAGATATTACACTTTAATAAAAGGTATTTGTGTGTTTTTTTCTTTCAGGTACAATTAAATGGATGAAAAATGGTGAAATAAGTAAAAAAGATCAAATTTGAAGCAAAAATGAAGAAGGTGTGAAAATGAACTCAGGCGCCTAAGCACCAGTTCATCCTAAGCTCCAAGGACTGGCTCTTACGCGTCAGTGAAATAAAGAGAGCTACACCTAAGCACCAAGCACCTCGCGCTTAAGCGCCAGAAGTAGTTACTTGATTATTCAATGAATTTGGACGAATTTTTTAAGAGGTGTTTAAAGCAACCCTTGGTGAAAACGTGGGGTATAGTTAATGGACACAAAAATTCATTCAATTGGCTTTTGAAAAGAGACAACTTCTAAAAGATTCATTGAATGTGGTCACATTTTGAAGAGACACCAAGACACCTTTTAGAAAATTATAAAAAAAAACTTGGATTGAAGATCAAGGGGAGGATCCATCCATCCATCCATCAGAGGATCCATCCAGAGCCAACCACCACACGTCGCCGCCACCCATAACCGCCGTCGCCCCTTTTCTTTTTATTTTAAGTTGTACTTTGTATTGTAAGTAAAGGAAGAGATTCAAAAGAACTTCAAGACTTTGGTGGAGAGGATTTGAGATAAGTTTTTATTTTTGTGACTACATTTGATTTTAATTTAGACTTCTTGTTTGTGTGCATGATTTCTACTTTCAAACTTAAGTGTGGTTGTGTTTTCTCCATGAATTTTGAGTAGACTTCTTTATCTTTTTCCTTAAAATGATAAGTGATTAGGTATTGGAAGAAAGTTGTGTGAAGTACTAGGCTTTAATGTTGGAAGAAGTTGTGATGATTTTAAAACTTGTACTTCATTTACTTCTTGATTTAGCCAATTAAGATGTTAATACCTGTTGTGAGAATATGTAATATTTGAGATGGTATTTATTGTATCAGTCAATAAATGGAATCACATTAGATTGTATGGATGAGAATGTAATTCATATGATTGAGTGAAAATAATAGGAAAATAAACTTTGAAGGGTGTAGAATTAGATGACTTTAGAGTGATGACTAAAGCCCTCAATTTGATTTATCATTTTAGGTTTTGATACGAGATGTTAGCCCCCATGTGTAGGGAGAAGTGGGAACTCTAGAATGAGAGTTAGTATCTTCCTTACCTAACCAGTCTTCAAGGCTACTTAAACTGTAAATTAGCCAATGTTCTTTATAACATCTCTAGTAAGGGTAAAGAATATTATTGCTCCTATTTGACACAACACAATTTGAAATACTTCCACAACATAATTCATATACTTGTTACTGATTTATGATAATGAAAAAGATATTTTATTTATATTGCATTTATCTTACAAATATTTAGTTAAGTTAGTTAATTGTCACCTTATTTTCAATTATAAAAAAATTATAAAAATAAAATTATAAAAATTTCAATTATAAAAAAATTATAAAAATAATCAAACTTTCATTCCTATTATAGTATCTAGAGTTTAAGTAAGAATATTTTGCTATGTAGAATTTGTCATCTAGTTTCTTCTGTTTTGTAGTTGTATATTGTAGTTTTTCCTGTGGGGTTTGATATTCGAGGCTTAATGAAATAGTCTTATATTACTTGATAATGATTCATATACTTGCGTAGTATCCCATATTTAAATATAATAATTGTATTTTTATTTGCTTCAAAGTCAAGTTTATGCTTAGCTGTTGCTGGTGATAAAGTTTTTGACAACGTTGTGAAGTAAGAATATAATTAAGAAAAAATTAATAATATAATCACATACATCACATTAACATGAGCGTCGGGATCAGGGGCTGAAACTTTTCATGTGGGCTTGGGTTTAATGAAATTTGGAAATTGGGCTCAAGTTATAGGCTTTTGAATTTTGATATTAATGGTTAATTTTGGGCTTGGTAATTTTTTAATGTTAATAGTATTGAAAATTTATCATGAAGGGTTTCATGAAGTCCTGAATTTGTCATGATGAATTTATGACTTGAGCTTGATGAATTTTGAGCTTGGTATGATGATCCCATTTTGGTGTCTTTTGGGTTCAAAATGGACTTGTGATGAATTTGGATTTATGGCTCATGGGAATTGGATATGAAATTGGAATTGGGGGAGTTTTGTGGAAATTGTGAATTTTGGGAATTATGGGTAAATTGAGTGGAAATTGGATAATTCAAGAATTTTGTCAATTTTGGGGAATTTTGGGGGGATTTCATGGATTTGGTGGACTTGAGTGGATTTGGGTGGATTTGGTGATTAGGATAGATCTTAATGGATATTTAAGTGAAATTGGGGATTTCATGCAAGTTTGGGTGTTTTGGAAATTTTGGGGGATATTGGTAATTTTGATGGGGTTTTTTGGATGATTTTTGGTAGAGAATTGGGTGTTTTGGAAATTTTGGATATTTTGGTAATTATGAGTAAATTTGAGAATTTTGGGTGAATTTTGGTATTTTGGGGGAGGTAAGGGAATTTTGGTGGAGAATTGAGTAGTTGGGTGAGGCATGTGAGTGAGAGGTGAATAGGGTGTGGTGATATGAAGTGGTGGTGTGCAGGGCAAGGTATTGGGAATATGAGTGTAGTGCATGTGTGAGAGACTTGAGTGATGTGTGGGGGGAGGTATGGGTTGGTGTGGATTGTAGTGGTATGTATGAACGTGTATGTGGTGTGAGGTGAGAATTGTCAAGTTATCCAGGGTCTTTCTAGGGCCTCAAGATCCAATGGGAGCCATCTTTATGCTTTATCATGTTGGTCTTAATCCTCTCAACCAAGTGTTGAGAGTTTGAGACCACCCATGTGAGGTTTCACAAAAGAGCTAAAAAAGTGGCTAGAATTGCTAAGTGGGGTGGGTCCCATCACTAGTTCTCTAGGATAATTAAGAGGACAGTCCTATGACTAGATCCTAAGCTCTAAGTAAGAAAAAAAATTAGATCTCACCAAAATGAGGTCAAGAATATTGTTATCATTTTCATCCATATTCATACATTACTGTTTGCAATTATGATTACAACTCATTCCTAATACTATAAAGCATTTATGCATTTTACTATTGAATACTTCTTGAATCATATATGTATTTTTAAGGAGTTAATTTAATGCAATATATTTTATTAAAATCTCTAAATTAAATTTCAAAAATCATTTCAATTTGTGCCATGCTCAATCAAAGCAATCTAACAAGGGGGAGCATTGTTAGAGTGACAATGTGCAATGAACCTTATTAGGGCAGACATTGTTAAACTAGGGTTGTGTAATAGAGCTAACTAGGGTAAGCTTCATATGATCAATTACATGCAAAAGATTTCACAAATGAAGGCTCCAAAGGACTCGTGGGTTTTGTCAAAGAACTTTATAAGAAAGGCAATGAAGAAATAGTGACATGGAAAGAAGAAGGGTCATTCTTGTTTGTGCATGTTATGTGAATGCATTGACATAATTCATCCAATGGGCCAATAATGATAAAGGTTCCATGTTCAAGAATAATGAGAATAATGACTATTAGAAATAAGATTTTAATATGGTTCTAACTCGAATCCCAATTGAAAGAAAGTTTTGAATCGCATTTAAATAACATTTCAAACGAGTTTAAATTAGAACTAGTTCAAACTAGTCTTATTTTCTTATGGACTTCAATAAGTAATTCACAAATATATGAGTTAATTTTCTTAGAAGATATTTTCAGACATATTTATCCAAGAATTTAAATAATGGAAATATTTATTTAGTACATACATTATTGCCATCATTTGTGAAATTTTTCTTATTAAATGAGTGAAGGAATATTTGATAAATTTAAGATAAGTTTATTGTTGAAATAATAAATTTGTTAATAACAAGATAAGATGAGATTGTTATTGTTGAATGAATTTGAATAGACATGTTTAGTAATTTACAAATAACATTAATGATATTTACTTTTAAAATGCTTTATATAGTTAGAAATTAAAAATTATGTATATATGATTCAAATTAAAATTAAATGTAATTCATACATTAAAAACGAATATTTTTGCAAAGGAAAAAATTTACAGCATTCTTTCATATAAAGCATCTAACATATCAATTGAATGTAATGCAAAATAGTCAACTTTTTATGATAATATTAAAATAGATCAGGAGCATTTTTATTAAGAAAATCAGTAAATTTTAGGGAAATTCACATAATTTGACATTTACATTTATATCACCTTATTGTCATAAACATATGCATGAATATGTGTATTTTACATTTAAAAAGAGTGTGATGATAATCTTTTTGATGTGATATTAAAGATTGAAATGATACGCAATAAAATATGAATGTTTAGTGGTTAGATATGTAAATAAATAATAATTGTGTAGCATGTGTTTAGTTATGATTTTATTAGCATTTATACATTCTGCTTAGGGTCTGTTTGGGACAGCTGCAACTTATTGAATAATCTGCTGATAAATTTAGATGCAGTAGATATTATAAATTTTTATTTTTTTGGAAAAGTCATTATCAGAAAGCTGTCACCGCACCTAGATATGTCCGGTGTGAAAACACTGTTTTCAACGTTTTCAAAACGCATAAGCTGTCAAAATACAATTTATCCAAACAGAACAGATACATTTTCAAAACGCCACCGTACCAAATAAGCTACCCCAATAGGACCCTTATTTAAAAAATTGATTAAAAAATAATTTTATGATATTAAAATAGTAAATCCGTTAATAAGAAAAATTAATAATTGGGCTTTAATATAACTCACAAATTATATTTCTTTTCTTGCGGATAAAGCTTTATTCATGAATCCATTTTACTGGTTCATTCCCAGCAACCAAATTCGGAAACCGACTTGCTAATTACAAGCAAATTTTATTTCGAGGGATAAGGAAATTAATTACTACCGATGCTTGCCGTATTTCTCTCTCTTCCCCATTCGTCCTCCCCTCTCTAGAGTACATGAACGCGAGCCAGTCTCCCGAGCTCTGCTATTTTCCATGAACGTCGTCGAATCCGTAAGTCTCCAATTCCTCTTTCCATCTTTATTACAGTAGTTTTTTTTTTTTTTTTCATTTTGTAGGTTGATTTCTGCAGGCCGCTGAAGAAACCCTAATCGATCCGTTCCTTGTTGAGGTACGCCCAAAAAAATTATTCGAAGAATAGGGCTTTCTTAGATTGATAGGATTGTCTCTACTCTATTACTTCGGATTAGGGATTTCGTTATTCCAATTCCACTCCGGGAGAAGTTACGGTTTTGGTAAGAGGTGCTGAAGAATTTGTTCCGGACTGCTACAATCGATTGAGCTTCTGGATAATGTGTATACTCTGTGTGATTCAGAGGTGGTCTCGGCGGGTCGCGACCATGCTACCGTGGCTTGTGATCCCGCTTATCATTCTCTGGGCGCTTTCCCAGCTTCTCCCTCCCGCTCTCCGATTCGAGATCACATCACCTCGCCTTGCCTGTGTTCTCGTCCTTTTAGCTACGCTTTTCTGGTACGAGATTCTAATGCCCCGCCTCTCAAATTGGCGGGCTCGCCGTGCTGCCCGCCTCCGCGAGCGCCGCCGAACTGAGGCTTTAGAGCTCCAGAAACTTCGTAAAACTGCTACACGTCGTTGCCGGAATTGCCACATGCCTTATCGTGATCAGAACCCTGGTGGTGGCCGGTTTATGTGCTCCTACTGTGGTCACATCTCGAAAAGACCGGAGCTTGACCTGCCGGATCAGATGGAAAGTTCGATGATTGCTGATTTTGTTGGGAAGAGTGGCTGGTTGTGTTATGCTGATGGGAATGGTAACTGGGCAGGACCTGATCCAAAGTACTGGAATGGAAATGATCGTAGCTGTTCAACGGAAAGATCTTGTTTTGGTGTGATTTTCCTTGCCTGCAAGCTACTTTCATGTTTTTTCTCGTGTATGAGGTGGCTTCGTAGCAAGTTTTTCAGATTTGGTTCTTCAAGGGAGGATGGATCTTTAGATTCAGATCACAGAGGATTGTTAGGGAAAGGAGAGAGTAGTGGAAATTTCCATAAAAGTAGAGGAGAGAAAGCTAGAAGGAAAGCGGAGGATAGGCGGCAGGCTCGGTTGGAGAAGGAGATGCTAGAGGAGGAAGAGAGGAAGCAGAGGGAAGAGGTTGCAAGGCTTGTAGAGGAAAGGAGGAGAGTGCGGGATGAGATGTTGGCAGCTGAGGCAGAGCGTTCAAAGGGCTCAGATGTTGATGGAGATAGAGGTGGCAAGAAGGAAATGGATAGGAGGAGGAGAGATAGAAGGAAAGACAAGGACAAAGCATCCAGCAAGAGCAATTCTGATGGTGAAGAGCATGAGAAGAGGGCAGCGAGGGAAAATGAAAGGAAAAGGGAGTTGGAAAAGAAGGTTGAGAATGAATTGAGCGATTTGCGGAAGGGTCCTGCTGATAATTACAAATCACAGGCCTCAGATGGTTTTTATGGAAACAAGGCTACTGTGAATAATTCCAGATATTTCGACCGTATGAAAGGCTCTTTTTTAAATTCTTCTAGAGGTTTTGCTGGTCCCTTCTTTGGAAGGAACATACAAAACTCTGCTCCTGTTACCAAGACTGTTAAGCCTGCCACTGGAATTATTGATCACGGTCAGACTTTTGGAAACAAAAGAGATACTCATCCTGCAGTGCGTGTGGCTGGTAAATCATCTTCTAGTGCAGGCGATAAGGCTTCTGAGACAAGCTCAAGTCGACTTGTGAGTTGTTATTCATGCAAATATACTTTCTTATGTATCATGTATTTATTCTTATTCTTGATTAAAAATTAATATGCTATATCTATATGTGCTAATTATTCACTTTCCTCTCTTTTTCCAGGGGACTACACATGCTCAACCAAAAACAACTGTTATAAAAAAGTCATGGCAGCAATTGTTTACTCGTTCCTCAGCAGTTTCTCCATATCCTGATGCAAATTCTGCTACTCAACTGAAGCAAACTGGTCAAATAGCAGATCTAGTTGATCATCCATCTAAGAAAAACTTATTACAAAGCTACTCTCCCCCTGATAACCAAGTTGATTTTAGGAAATCATCACCTTTCGCAGCCTTCCCTCCTACAAGCTCTTCTTTTCCAACCAATCCAATTTTTCCTATCATCCCTGATACATCATTCCCTCCTCTCGAAGAGCCGCCAAGAAGCTCAGTGTCAGAAGACGCTGAATTATTTGAGGATCCATGCTATGATCCTGATCCCATTTCCTTGTTGGGGCCTGTGTCAGAGTCGCTCGACAAATTTCCGTCGGACTTAGACACCGGATTTACTTTGACGAACGAAGGATCTTCATATTTGAAGAATATTTTGACTTCTGCAGACATGAATAAGCCTTCCCCTATCGAACCCCCCTTGTCAAAACTAAATTTGCCCCCTTATCCTAATTCAGATCCATCCACCAATATAAAAGAACAAAGTACATGGCAAATGTGGGGCACTCCATTGCCTCAGGAAGGGCTGGGTTTGATAGGTCGTCCCTCCCAGTGGCTTTCACCTCTTGCACAAAACAATTCTCTATCCCACAATCCTGTAGTACCGCCCATCTCAATTGGTAATGAACAAAATTGTGGGACTTATAGTCCACTTAGTCCTACCTTTAATGATAACGGCATATGGCAGCAGAATTTCTTCCAGTCTCCCTCGCCCGTGGTTGATGATATTCATTTGCTGCCCCTTGATCTCATGGTTAATATCTCTCAGGGTGAATCTTCTTATAGTAGTCCGGTAAAATCTACTGTTGGACAACCTTTTGAAACACACCCAACTAATGGTTGGACCAAGTGAGTATCTTTGTGCTTTTCTAGAAAGTTTCTTTTTTTTGCTGTTTTTATGCAATAAAGTTGAATAAAATTGGCTTCAATGCGACCATTTTATATGCTTTGTTGATGTGTTATTGAATAACTTTGATTTTGTATAATTGAGTATATGGTAACATATTTAAGTTGTTTGATTTTTTTTCCTTGCTTTTTTCTATTTCATTTACTGGTTTGGTTACATTTCATTATTTTATTCATGATTTATATTTTTAAACTTTAAGGTTCTACTCAGCTAGATTGTCTTACTTGAACTTGTTGTATTGTGGTCACCTTGCATATTGGGATTCCTTTTGTTAGGAATAATTGCTTATGAATATTTGTTGCATGATTTCTTTGCTGTTTTATTGAATGGATTTATAATTTATGTGAAAAAACTGTAAGCAAATCATTGTTTTTTTTTTTGCACTGTTGTAGTAGTTGATGCTGCTTGTTTTTCTGAAGTTTTTTTAAATGAATCATTTTTCTGAATTTTTTTCATTTTTCTGACTTTTTTTAGTAAAATAATTGTATATTACCACTGTTTTCAAAGCACCGAACGCAGTGTGTTATGCAAGATTTTATTTTTATTTCACGTGCATGGTGCGAAGTGAAACATATTATTTTCAACTAAACTGCCCATGCTTACTGCATTTCTTGCATGTGTATCATACCCATTTTATGATTACATCAGACAAAAATTTTCAAGAAACGAGTTTTAAAAAGTCCAATAAAAATTGTAGAAGAATGTTGTAGAGTGTGCCTAAATTGATGACCACATTTAAATAAAATATTTCTTTTTTTAGCTTGATTGTACTTAATGAACACTAGGTCACTAAGACACATTTATTGTAATTTGTCTTATTTTTTCTTATGAATTTAGAAAGGTGTTCACAAAGATTAAGGGTTTGTTTGGGGCAGCTGCAGTTTATTGAATAATGTGTCGATAAGCTGATTAAAAATGATCTGCTAATAAGCTAGGTGCGGTGACTATTACAAAATTTTATTTTTTTTGGAAGAACCAGACCTCAAACAGAAAGCTGCCACCACATCTAGATAGACACTGTGTGAAAATGTTGTTTTCAGCATTTTGAAAATGCATAAGTTGCCAAAACGTAGTTCACCTAAATAGGCCTGGTGCGTTTTCAAAACGCCACCGCACCAAATAAGCTGCCCCAAACGGGTAGTAAATGGTTTCATGAACTCAAGTCTTTAAAACTAAAATTCAAATTTGTATTTCTATGTAAAAAGAATCATGCCTAAAAATTTCTATTGCAGATGGTCAACTTATGCTCAAATAGGCCCCTATAACATGATTCTCAATAGATAGTTCCATATTGAGCCTTATCCTCTATTAAAATTCACTGCCAACCTTCAAATAATTGTGAATAATTTATCCACCAATCGTGTATCTGATTGTATTAATCGTTTTAATTATGTTTAAAAATCTCTATTCAATAGTAGTCGCCTTGATGCATAATTAGGGGTGTAAATGAATCGAATATGAACGAACAGAGCTCGTGTTTGTGTTTGGTTCGTTTGAAATTGTGTGTTTGAAATAGGCTTGTGTTTAAAATTATTCATGAAATTATTGTTCGTGTTCGGTTTGATTTGTTTGAAATATGTTTGAAATGTTCGAATTGTTCAAATTATTCGAATAATTTGAATTGTTTAAATTATTCGAATAATTTGAATTGTTCTAAATCTTACAAATTTGTTTGTATTGTTCGAATTGTTTTAATTTTTCAAAATCTTTAAAAAAAAACTTAATCCTATATGAAATCAATGCTTAAACTTGTATGAATCACAACACAAATGCAAAATAGCCAAAACACATCTCACAATAAAACCATAATATCATATCTCATCCATAAAAAATTCAGATCTAGAGGCAATATGCGACATTTCACCCCCAAAAACTAGGTTTCACTCGAAGAAACTAAATAAATTTAAAAGAAATATCAGAAAATTTAAGCTAAGAGACTAATCTGATGATAAATATGAAATTATAGAATTTAATATAAGCTAAAAGATAAACTTGAAGATCATATTATAATTTATAATATTTAATTTTTTAAAATATGGTAAATTTTTAGAACATATAATTATTTTTAAAATATTATAATTTTTTTATATATAATTTTTTTAAAATATTTTATATTTTGAACAATAACGATTCAAACACGATCAAACAAATGACTATTCGTGTTTGGTTCGTTTATAAATCGAACGAAAAAAAAATTGTTCGTGTTCGTCTCGTTTACTTATCAAACGAATCGAACACGAACTCTCCGACGAGCCGAACACAAACTGTTGGCGAACAACGAGCTTTTTTGACAGCCCTATGCATAATGCATCTTCACTATTCATGTTGATAACTTTGTTCAATTTCTCGAAGGGATCTACAATTTCAATGTGTTGCACGTGGCATGCAATCGATAAAAGTGAAGCTTCTCTTTGCCTAGCCTTGACACTATGGTTCAAAATAGTGATTACATATATAAAGATAAAAATATACTAACAAAATACTAATTTTTCAACACATAAGAAATTGAATAAAGTCATCAGCATGAATAGTGAAGATGTGCATCAAGGTGACTACTATCTAATAGAGATTTTTAAACATAATTAAAATGATTAATACAATCAGATATACGATTGGTAGACAAGTTATTCACAATTATTTGAAGGTTTGAAGTGAATTCCAATAAGAGGATAAGACTCGATAAGGAACTATCTATTAAGAATCATGTTAGAAAGCCCTATTTGAGCATAAGTTTACCATCTGCAATATAATTTTTTAGGCATGCTTTTTTTACATAGAAAAACAAACTTAAATTTTAGTTTTAAAGACTCGAGTTCATGCAACCATTTAATCTTTGTGAACACCTTTCTAGATTCATAAGAAAATATATGACAAATTAGAACAAATGTGTCTTAGTGACCTAGTGTTCATTAAGTACATTTCAAAGATTCGTGCATATTTCCAGCAGGTGAACATTTCAAAGAATTTAGCACAATGGTAGTTTGACGATAGAGTTGATATTTGTTCTTATATAGTGATAAAGATTCCTCTCTTCTTTGCCTTTGGTGTCATATAGAGGTGCCAAAGTACCTATGCCTCAATAAATATAAATTTGGGTGCAGAGATGCTAAAATGTTTGCCTATATAAATTTTTCCTGAAAGTGCTAGAGAGGGGTGTAAGAATGTTTATACGAATATTGGAAGGTATCTCAATGAAAATTCCATTTCATTTAATGTGGAACCCATTCTAATTTCAGCATGTCCATCCATGCCATAAATTCATTGGGTTGCGGCTTGAAACCATTGTTTATGAATGATTTGAGGACTTGGGTGTTGAAAAAAGTGCTAAATAATACTGAAAAATGAGGGAAGAGATTAGAAAATTTTGGAATTTGATTGGAGTGATGATGATGTCTGATGGTTTTTCTATTGTAAGGAATAGAATCTTGATCAATATTTTAATTAACAATGGCTAATCTTGATCAATATTTCTTAAAATTTGTTGAAGCATAAGATTTAATTGTGCAAAGTTTATTTTGGACTTCTTTGATAGAGTCGTAGAGGAGATTAAAGAGTATCTAGTGGTTCAAACTTTTATAGATGATTCAAAAAGGTCGATGGACAAATGGTTGATAGAGAAGAGGCAACATATGCACTAGAGCCCATGTGTGACACTTTATAGATTTGGTTTTAGAGCAAGTTGGTGACTTGCCTTAAAACAATAATGCATTGAGCATAATAAAGAAGATTATCGAGATTTATCTACAATCTTTCTTTGATTTTTGGCATTTCTGAGAAAATTTAGTATTAAGGAACTTTTATAACTTTGTACAATTAGATTTGCTATAGTCTATTTGATCTTGCAAAATATGTTGGAAGTAAGACAACTTTTGAATGTTATTTTATTTCTACTTGGTGGCTTAGTTGTGCTTGGACAAAGAAAATTGAAAAGAAAGAAGCAAGGAAGATTGTTTTGAATGATAAATTGTGGTTAAGTGTTAATTACTCAATAACAACAACTATTGGTTCAAGTTTTAAAAAGGTCGGACTCAGAAAAAGGGTCATTTATGGGCTTTATTTACAATGCAATGGACAAGGCTAAAGAGTTGACCACTTTAAATATTGGATGAGATGAGTTTGCTATAGTAAGATATGATAAATCATTGATAAGTTGGTGCGTCAGCTTTATTGTCACTTGCTTGCTGCAGAATATTATCTTAATACATACTTTTACCATGTTGAGAATGGTTCAACCAATCGCAAGATCAAATTAGGTTTTTGTATTATTGCATGGATAAGGTTGATCGCTCACTCAACTAAGCAGGTGCAAGCTGACATGCAACTTTTACCATTCAGAGAGATGGATTTTTTGAATTAAAACATTTAATATATTGTTGTAACACATTCTTTAGGTTAATTTAATATATGTTAATAAAAGCATGGATAGTTCTAATTTTAATTGTGTTTTTTTCTTCTAATTTAGTTGAATGGTAGATTCAATATAGTGATGACACAATAGAGCTAAAATGATTTACTATTAATGTATTGAGACTTACATGTTTGTCATTAGATTGTGAGTGAAATTGGAGGAAAATTGTTTGTGTTTTAATAATGAACTTATTGATTTATATTTTGTACAAGAAGAGACTAAGTGATAGGAAGTTGCAAAAGTGGCTTCAAAGTTTGACGATGACCCTTTACTTTGTAATGACATGCTGTCTGATGAAGAATAGTTTGTGGATGATAATAATGAGCAACATCATCTGATTTGAAAAATAGGATCTTTAATGTTAATTTCCTTGATGAGGGCAGAAATAAGATCAATAGGTCTAACACAATCCAATAAGCAATTAACATAAAACATATCTATAAAAATTTATCTAATTGAAATCCAACCATCAATATAATTAAAATTTTAAAAATTAATTATTATATTGATTTTATTGATTAGAGAATACGAAGA